GAGTAGTTAGTACGTTGATTTTGTTGAAAAAATATTTAATTTATTTCATGAATAGTTAATAAAGAGATTTTGATTAGTGGTAATTAGGATTATCTGGAATAAAATGCTTAATTTTAAATATAAATTACATGGTTATTTATGATAACTTCAAGGGTTTGACAATCCTTTACACACACACACACATATATTAATTTTGATATTCAAGTTTGGTCAATAAATATTTGATCATACTGCTCCTTAATTTGTCAATTCTTTTCAGAAATGAACAAGAAAACAAAAAGAAAAACAGTTTAAATTATTTTCTTTCCATGATGGCCGTGAAAGTCTGAAAATCAGACTTTTCCTAATGCTTTTACTATAATATTATCTAATTGGATATAATAAAAAAAAAAAAACTAGTTAGATATATATATATATATATATATATATATAGTTTGACGAGTATCTAGATGTTAATGTCTCAATCACAATTATCATAGTAATTAGAGTTACATAAAATTAATTATCGAGGTGTATAGTGTTTTTGTAGCATATAATCATCCTGTGGTGTCTGAATATATATCACATCAGAAGTATCTATCCTGGTAATAATGTTAACTTGTAAATATATCTGTCGACTATTATTCCCCCAATAATATAGGTGGGTGGGTATACATACATATATATATATACACACAGAGTCCAGTGTAAATATCAACCAAATCCATATAACCAATTAAATTGAACTGAACCAACTAATTAAACCGAATGTTTTTTTTTTAATCTATATTAAATATATATTATATTAATATATCATAAAAATATATGTTATGTTGTGTATATAGCATAATATATTAAAGTTTAAAAATTAAAAAAAAATAAAATTTGCGTTAATTTTTCAGTTGTTCAGACAGATTAGTTGATTGGTCTAATTTTGATTTCAATTCGGTCAATTAATATAGCTTAATCAATTTTTTCAAATTTTTAATTGTATCAAATTGACACAATGTGCATATATATATATATATGTGTGTGTGTGTGTGTGTATTATATTTAATTAAAAAAAGTCACAACTTTTATGATAAATAGATAGATACAAACCTGAAAGCTTGACCCTACAGAAAGAGATTTATACCGTTAAAGTAAAGGGATTCGTACCACTATAGTCAGGAGCCCTTTGGTTCATATATATTTTATACATATATAAATAAGTAATCTGGTTATATATATAAAGACGTTCGTAATACGCATGCATGGTATAATGGAATATATATATATATATATATATAATTTCCTTTAATTAGTTATATACGTATTCGTTTTCTGAATGAATTATAGGGTCTCTATTGGTCTACGTCATTTATAGTAAGCAAGCATATTTCTGCGCATGCACAGTTTTTTAGTGTATATGTCAATGAATTGTGCATTCAAATATATATGTATACACACACAAATTGCAGGAAGTTCCCTAATGTTTTTACAGTTAATATTATCCATTTTCCCATCTTGTTTTTTTCTTCTCACTTCCAAATCTCAAAAGTATATAATACAACATTTGCTTTCATGATTATTATTATTTTTTATTTTCCAGGCAATAAATAACACATATATATGTATATGTATATGTATATATATGAAGTTACTGACTAGACACACACACATATTTGATTTAGACATCAAATCATCTAAATATCATTATATATAGAATTTGTTATACTTTAGTGCTTATTTTGACATGTTTAATTTTTTATTTAAAGTATTTCTTAATATTTTCCCTCCAAAAAGGTTTTGATGTTTATGAAAAATAATTTTAAAAGAATTATGAAGCTTAATTTTTAAAACAAAAATAAGTAATTAAAAATATAAACTATATTATTTTTTAAAATATAATGCGTGTACTTTTAATATCGATACAACACGTGTTGGGCTTTTTTATTTTGAGATATTTTAATTTTGATTACGTATCTAAAATTGATTTTTTATTTTTTACTATGAAAATATATTTTTCAAGATTTCAATTATATTTTACATTAAAGTTTATAGATAGTCCATAGTTTTTTGTGTTTTGATTTTTATTAAATATTTTTCAATTAGGTTATTTTTAAAAATTAAGAAAAATTAAAGTACCCTTAAAAATAAAAAAAACCATGCAGTAAAACATAATGTGAAATTTTGTTACACCCAGAAAGAGTGAAAGTTGAGAAGGGTAGGGTAGTGGTGAATTGTTAAAAGAGGAAAAATAAAGGGCAAAAATAGGAATAGGGAAGAGAGAGTGGATAAAAATCCGCTGTTGGAACAGCCCACTGGAAATCAGAGTTATGGCCCCTGGTTTTGTCTCTCTCCTTTCAAAACTAACTGTATTCCCCTTTCTGCTTTGCCCTAGACTTCTTCCACCCAAACTCCTCCTCCTCTTTTATACCCCCCCCTCTCTCTTCTCCATTTTTCTCCATCATCAACAGAGATGCTTTTTTAAACCATCTCTGTCTTTCTCCTCTTCCTTTTACACCTCAAACGTACCTAACCCCGTACCACAAACTCCTCCCTCATATCACTTTCTTCCACTTTCTCCTCTGTTTCCCTCTCTTCTCCCTCCATTTCCGGCCGCTTCTCCCCTCTTTTTACCTACCCAGATCGTAATCCTTGCCTTTCAGGATTACCCATCTTCTTTCTGGTGCTACCCGTATTGTAATTTGGTGGTTTTGAAGAGGTTTTGTTGGTGCTGGGCCTGTGCAATTGAGGTTGAATGGGGATTGGAAAAACGTACGCTGACCGAAAGGAGGAGTTGTGTGAATCGCCCAATACAAATAGGAATTCTACTACATCCAAGACGGTGAAGACTGCCAATTCTGCCAAAGCTGTCAACACGTCTAAGTCACATAACAAGGGGAAGAGGAGCCGCCGTCGGAACAAGAAAATGACGGCGTTGCCAATTCAGAGGCTATTTGATATCTGCAAGGAGGTTTTTGCCAATGCAGAGCCTGGAATTGTACCCACCCCTGAGAATATCCAACGCCTGCGTGCTGTTCTGGGTAATGTTTTCATTGCTTTTCCTCTGTTTCCTTGCATGTGATTTGAAGTGGAATGTGGGTCGGTTTCATTTTTTCAGTTGTGAAATATGTTTTTGTTCTTTTTTCTTTTAATTTTGTTAGCTCTCAAGAATCTGTATTTGAAGGTTTTAGTTGGGTTCGGGATATAGTTTCGGGCTATGCATTTTGTTTACGAGGTTGTGAAAACTGAGTTTTATTTTCACTTATTGGTTAAATTAAGATGATCATGTACGAGTAATTAAACGAATGTCTCAGGATCTCTTTGTTTTTCTGAAAGTTCTCTTACTGATTCTCGCTCTTTGATTAGTATGATGATGGGTCTCTGTCCTCTATAATTGTTTTTAGAAATGTATTGGCTTTCAACATATTATAAAGATCAGTGCAATTAGTTGAGTGCTTTTGTCAATTTAATTATCTTCTATTCCCTGCTTGTGGGGCATGTCTTCTTTTGTTATGTGGTTATTATGAATTTTGGATTAATTTTAAATGTTAAACTTTTAATTATAAAAGATAAAACTTTTTTGGTACCATGTGTTTCTTATGCTTAATCAAATACTTCTGCATTGGCATGCTTTTGCTTTCTCTGTTTTGTTATTGATTACTAACAAATTCACATTGCGTATTGACATGAAATTTATTTTTTCTTTGGCTCAGATGAAATCAATCCTGAGGATGTTGGTCTCTCTCCTGAAATGCCGTATTTCTGCCAAAAGCTAAATGGAAGAACCCCACCAATAACGTACCTACACCTCTATGAAAGTGACAAATTCTCTGTACGTAACCTTGTTTAGGTTATTACACGAAAGTCTTAGTTAAATCTTATTTAGTAAACACTTTTTTTAGCTTATGGTTAAAAATGCAGATGGGTATTTTCTGCTTGCCGCCATCTGGTGTAATTCCTCTTCACAACCACCCTGGAATGACAGTTTTCAGTAAGCTTCTGTTTGGTACCATGCACATCAAGTCCTACGATTGGGTGGCTGATGCACCTTGCAAGGCTTCATCTACCCTTGAGAGTCCTTCTGAGCCATCGGGTAAGTTTCTTCCTGGGAATCTTTCCTTTTACATTTGTCTGTATATATAGCATCAACCATGGAGTCTGTTCTTCTTTTCCATGCTGAGCATTTGAGGTTCCTCGCAATTGTGCTTTTAGGGTATGTGGGGTTTAAACGAAGAAAATTAGGAGTTTGGTATTGTTAGCAGGATGTTATTCATGGTCATAGAGCTCTGATCTCAGGAGAATAAACATTTAGTGTCAGGAACGATGGGAATGACCAAAATTATCACCCTTTCAATTCCTTAGGGATGTATCTGTTTGGATATACTTGTAATTTAAAAATTGCTCCTTTATCCAATTTTCATGAAGTTCCCCTTTTACATATCATCATGTGTGTGTTAATACAATACAGTGGAGCAAGCTGAAATCCGTCTGGCTAAGATGAAGGTTGACTCCAACTTTACTGCTCCTTGCAACACCTCCATCCTTTACCCGGCTGATGGTGGCAATATGCATTGCTTCACTGCTGTGACGCCGTGTGCTGTGTTGGATGTGCTTGGACCTCCATACTCCGATCCCGATGGACGCCACTGCACTTATTACTATGATTTCCCATTTGCCAATTTCACAGGTATCCATCTTCTCAATCACTTTACAATCTGATTTCTGGGGGTTTACTTGAATGACAAACGGTTTCAATCTGGAATTTCAGTTGATGGAGTTTCAGTGGCCGAGGAGGAGAAGGAAGGACATGCATGGCTTCAAGAGAGACAGAAACTTGGGGACTTTGCTGTTGTTGGAGCATTGTACCGAGGACCAAAGATCGTAGACAAGTGAAAAAAACCGCTCTTATCCATCTCGTTTTTGTTTGTTCTTTCTAACTTTTGGGGACCTCCTTTAGAAGCTGGTGCTTTTTCTTTCTTTCTTTTCTTTTCTTTTTTTCAGTTGACAGTTTCTGTACATAAAAGGAAAACAAAAAAAAGGGAAAAAAGTGTCAAATGCACCGGAAGAGGTTACTGCTTGTAGAACAATGAGAAAATGTTAAAAAAAAGTGGTCTTTTCTTTTTGGTCTCCATTTGTGGTGGTTTTTCCAAGCATCGTCGTAATAAAAATAGCGATACATGCTTTGAGATTACTGCCGATGAAGTTTCTATTCTGCGCAAACAGCATTTATATAGATACAAAGTGGGTTTATGATTTAGACCAAATATATGTCGCCATTTTTGAGACACAGACTCTTCTGTAGCCTACTTGGGAAAAACAAGAATTGTCATGCTGCGTTGGGAGACTAAGGCGATTCTTGTACCGTCAGACAATGTTTAAGTCAATTTCATGTCTGATTCTGTCTCTTAATATCGCAGCTCTCAAGTCTGAACCTTTTGTTTAGCTGGCAAATATTAAACTCCTAGTCTGTTTCAAGGTATTATGAGGAGACAGTTTCGGTATTTCATTCTTCTGAATCTGAAGAATAAAACACAATATAATAAATCACAAGTCTATGCTCGGTCAGACTTATTCGGATCCTAGTTCGTTTGCTACTTGACTTACAGTGGTGTACTTCTGAGTACCACAATCAGCCGCTATGTACCTATATATATATATATATATATATGTATATCTGGTAATAGCACACAGCTTTGCACAGACACTCACAACTCAAGTACACAGTATTTTGTGGTACCATCACTTTTTGAAGATGCCAGATGGAGTTTGGTCTAGTTGAGATTGAGGAGATGTGTTTTTTATTGGCAGGCTGTCAGGGTAAGGTTTGACATACTGATTGTTTGTAGAAACAAACAAAGGATAATCTCATTTGTTCATCTATACATATACGTTAATCTACAAACTGATCATCCTAATTAGCATTATATTGAAGCTGTGATTCCTTCTGTTAAGGAAGAAAACCTGAATCCGAAACCAGCATTTACGTGAACTCTTGTTTATACTGAAAGAAGAAATAAGAGAAGACATGCAATGATGCAAAATACATATACATATTTATGCATATATATTGGGGTAATTGAAGAGAATACACAACAGAGTATACCCTGTTGTCATGGCGATCTGGTTTACTTCGTCACTCTTCTTCTTCTTCTTCTTCTTCTTCTTGTTCTATTATTCAAATTCTTTTGCAGAGCTGATAAAGCGGTCTACCAGGATACGCTGTTACAGATGAAGCACATTCCAGAGCTTGTTCTACTAATTTGTTGAAGCAGAGCCAACCAATCCTCTTTCCCATCCCTTGACCTTGTGGCTTAATGGAGGTTCTAGAACAATAAACTGAATTAATTTTCCAACCTTTCTAATTTATTTTTTTGTTTTTAATAATTTTTTTAACATTTTTCTCATAACTTAACATAAATATTTGGTTTATATGGTATAAATACTTTATTATAAAATTGATAATTCAAGTTTGATTTCTTTGTTCCAATGTGGTTGACGCTAGGCTTTGGTTGTTCTTCTTTTAGTTTTGATTCTTTTATGGAACGTGTTCATTTTAAACAAATAAAAAATGAGATTTTTTTTTAGAATAAATATTCATGAATTCTTAATTTTTAGGACGATCTTGATATTGTATATACTATTACACTTTGTTCCACATATAAAATATATTTTAATTTTAACTTTTTAATGTTTATATGTTTATACATGTACTTAATTATGAAATTTTAGGAGTTGCACAATGGTGAAATAAACAAAAATCATAAAAATATTTTTAAATTTTTAATTTCTATCTTTATGTTTACTGTCATTTTTTTTATTGTTAGTTATTTTTTTTTAATAATTTTGTAAATGAAAAATACAAAATTAAAAAGTAAAAATACCCAAATACTAAAATAACAAAAGAAGGAAAACAAAATGAACTTTTCGGAAAAAAACTCAAAGGAATGTAATCCTCTATGTTATTAAGCTTCTGCGAAATAAATTTTGAATATAATATATTACTTGACGTGAAATAAATATTGAATATGACATTTTATTCAACGTAAAATGAATCTCTATGTCGTTTAAGTCCTGATATTTTACAAAAATTATTTAAAATGCACAACCCATTGCAAGAAGAATGCAACTAAAGCTAAAATACCTTGATTTGCTTGGGACTTAAACAGAAGATGAAAAAATGGACCGTTGAAGTACAAAGAAGATTCAATATTATAACTCATTTGTTAGTAAAAATATTGAATCTGTAAAAATAATTTTTTTTTTATACATCACGAGGTTTAACATAAAATAAAATTTATTATAAACTAAATTATACCAATAAAAATCGTAGAGTATCAGGTTGGGTTTAATCGTTTAGCTAACAATTTGTTTATTGGTTAATTTTATTCATTTACAACATAGTTAGATAAATAATATTTACCAATTATGTGCAATTTATAAATCATGAGCATTATCCGATAACATAACACGGTTAATAAAAGACAATGAATTTGTGCTTCCTTCTTTTTTTTTTTTTTCTCAAAGTAAATAATGGTTTTCATTATTTTGAAAAGAGAATTAGGAAGAGGAGAAGGATGCTGCAACTCGTATAGGGTTTTTGAAGGCAATCAGGATGATAAATTGGAAGTAATGTCCGAGAAAGCATCAAGTATAAAATGTCTGGACCAAATTAGACTCGATTTGTAAAAGGAAATGACCTTATTAGCTTTTTATTTGTGTCTGGACTAAATTATAAGTGGCTCAATCTGCCGTTCATTCTTTTATAAATATCAGATTTAAAATTGAACTAAAATCCAATTGTTACTAGTTTTTTGTATTATCAATTCCTTATAATTATTAATTAATTAATGATCTAACTTCGATTATTAATTAATTAAAAAAAATAATAATCAGGACCAATATGATTGACCCTGTAAATCCTAAAAATCAATAATCCAATCAGAGAGATATCCTTTATTATTATTATTATTATTTTGTTTTTTCCATTTCAGAATATATGAATAAATTAAAATATTTATATTTAATGAGTTTATGTATTAAATAAATATGTTTATTATTGAATAAATTAAATATTCAAACTGCTAGTTAAACCCCATATTCAAGTAGTTCAAATGAATGCCTAATCTTTAAAGCATTGACCCACTTTCAATAGAGTATTCACAACTTGTCCTTAAAGTCTTTGGTTGGCAATTAGCGAGAATATATATATATATATATATTTTCAAAGAACTATGAACGTGGACCACCCTTTCTTCTCTTCCTTCACACATATCTATTTAATTATATATAATCTATTAGTTTTATTTAACTAAGACTGACACTTACATATATATATATATATATATATATATATATAATATCATTGCCTAAACAAATTTATAGCTTGCTTGAGCTGGTGTTTTGGAACATGAAACTCGATGGGATTTAGAAATAAGGTCAATATCTGATCTTAATGAAAGCAAATTAAAAGAAGCTGCAAATACATATTGAGACTCTTTCATTCAATCATAGTTTCAAAATTTTACCTCAATTGGGAATAAAAATTTGTTGATTAATATAGCCTTCTCTATATATTTTTAGTTCCTTGGAGATTATGTGAAATAGTTAGTACAATTCATAGGGTATAATTTTTTCCTTTAATTACTTGTAATTAGTAATTAGTAATTAGTATATGAAACTACAATTCATAGTAGATTAAATTAATATAGACAATTGCAACTTAAAATTATTTAAAACAGACTTATATATAAAAATTAGTTCCAAAACTTCTTATCTTGACATTGTTAGATAATTAGGAACAGTTTAGTAATCTAATTATCACTAATTTATGAAAAAAATTAGTTTCTAAAATAAAATATAAGAATTATTTCGCGTAAATAAAATTTTAAATAACTCGATAAACACATAAATAATTAAAATGCATGTGAGTACTAACTAGAGCAACTGATAACTAGATAAGCATAATTGTCATCTATATCGTTAACTATAAAAAAAATTTAAAATTATTACATAATTTTCTAACACCCACGCATAAAAATACATGATAATAAATAGATAAAATCAGGTGATAATCAAAGTTCTCTCTGCTATTAGTAGGTATAAAACACTTTTCGTTACATATTATTATAGAGTTCCTTCGTATTAGATTGTTACTGAGATTATAAGTTAGTTATTAAGGAAGAACGTAGAACTGTCACAAGTTCTTTATAACGAATGAAAAACGTTTAAACTCTTATATTAAAGAAGGATATGGAATTGTCACAAGCTTTCTATAGTTATTACAATGATTTTTTTTTTAAAAAAATAAAACATAGAGTCACTCATGTAATTATCTTAATAAATTGATCATGATAAAAGTATCATCTATTATGTTACAAATAATATTAAAAAAAAACTAATAAACTAATCGACTTTAATGAAAACTTTTTATCATAATAACTCGAGATCAGTGAAGAAGAAAAATAATAGAGATGACCGAGTTTATAATTATATTATACATTTCGAAAGACCGAAGATGATGTTCTATGAAGAAAAAAAAAAGTTTTACAATTTTCTAGTAAATACAATTCTTAAATAATATAAGGAAGCATCTTCTTAGCACAAAAAACTATTCCATTAAATCATTGACTTGTAAATTATTAATAAATATGTCTCCATTGATTCAAAATATATTGTCACCGTATGTTTTTTATATTAAAAGTGGGCAGCCAAGGCAGGAAGAACAGCATCCTAATATTATTTAATCCAAGGTAAAAAGCTTTTGAGTTATGGATATAGCCAGTTAACTATATATATATATATACATGTATGTATGTGTGTGTAATTCGATCTTGTTTATCAATTCTCTCTAATAGATTAGGGTAACAGATAAGTTAAATATTATCTAATTCATAAAGAAGGACCGTATTTACGCCATGATCATAATTTTAGAATACAATAATTCAATAGTCTTCCCATTTTGTTTAATATCAACTAGTTAATTTATTAAGTGGGATATTGATATCTTGTGAGATTAATAATATTTATTTCAAAATATTTTCAGTTGACACTATGAGTTCAATTCATTAATTATTTTATTTTCTAATCAAAAGGTTGTATACGAAAACCAACTTACCAAGATCATACAAGGACAAGTGAATAAAGTAAGAATTTAAACTAAATATATATATCAAACTTATAAATATATATATA